GTTGTTGAAAGAGCTCGTTGGCCAGCCCGCTGCCGCCCACTAGCTGTTTGTGCTTGGCTTGTGTTTTCACTAGCGTTTGTCCTAATTGAAATTTTCAATGCACTATAGTCAGTCTTTGTTGGCCACAAAGCCCACATGGCCCAAGACCGACCCACTCATCATTTAAACCTACTAGCGGATTTTATATAACAGTGTTGATGTAAGTGGCCACATTTTCATTTCATTCTCGCCTTTCCCTAGTGCTCTGTATGTGTGTGTATGTGCGTGTGTGCGTCTGTGGTTTCGAATGGAAAAGTTTTCCAACAATATGAATTGCTGGGTCAGTCCAATAGGTATAAATAATAGTCCTGTTACGTACCTACATATCTGGTATTGTAGTTCTGCGTAGTCTGGATTCGTAGTTGTTGTTCCTCTTCATTAATTGCCCTGCCCTGCCTAGCCATTGAGTCGGCAGCCTTTTATTGAAATCGTTATTTTCTCCTCCCATATTATACATAACTTGTACCTATTTATTTGATTCCATGTTAACTATTTATAGCAGCCACAACAAAACAAAAAGAAATACGAAAAAAATAACAAACACCAAATTGTTGTTATTTTGCACGTCAGGCGTCTTCAAAAATATCTTGCTTTTAATATCTTTTCGGCAGCTGCCTTCCAACGCCCATTGAATTTCAATCTTTTGCCTCTGCTCCTCGCCTCCTCACTCGGCTGACAACTGCGAAAAATGCAAACAAAATTTTCATTCATGTTATTTTCCAACAAGCAAATTCCTTCCACATAGCAAAGAAAGAAGAAGAAGAGGAATTTGAAAGAAAATAAATAAACGTTAGCGCTAAACTTTTTTGCACTTAATTTAGGACTCTGCCAAAGATTTATGTTATTTATAAATACTCGAATGTAACTTGTGCGATGCTCGAGCAAACTTAAAATTTTGCTCGAAGCAAACAACATAAATATCGATTGTTAGGGGGGAAAACAAAGTCTCCTTTAAGCATGTCACAAACACTGACTTGTATGTATATGTTTTCCTTTTTCCGATAAGAGGAAAGTACTTTTTGTTTAAAATGCTCGTTGCATCTTATTTCCGAAAAAGTAGTGTCAACGAATCCTAGAAACTGCAAGACAAGAACGACAGCCACCACCACAATACTACTTACTAAGGGACCAACATAATAAATAGTCCCCGAATTACGGATCAGCCCATGATACCTGTAAGCCCTTCCCCTTCTCCATATAGCCTCCAGTCTTCTTGGCAAGGTACCCAAGATTCTATTAGTCGTCATTACCGATAAGCAGAAAATGCTGTAGAAATAGTTGTATTCCAAAATTCCCGTTGTAGTTCTCAACTAAGCTACGCTTCGTCAAACTATCACGCAATCAATATCAATCAATTAATGTATAAATAGTTGTTACCATATAATGTCCTTAGAAATTTGGAGAAAAAAAACGGACGAACTATAAGTATAAAGTTTACACAAATTATTTCAAAATACCTCTCGCCACTACATGGTATTGAATATTAAACTAATTAATGAACTAATTTGTTTGATTGAATCAGACATTTGCTATGACAGCAGTTTTTTGTTCTTCTGCACTCGTCTTAATGCTATTAGAGCTCCTTTACTTGTATACTTGTATTTCTAATCAATTAGAATGCATTCCTCAGTCGATATAGGCATCTACTAAAGGGTAGATAGGAATGCAGAGCAGCAGAGACAATGCATCAATGAATGCAATTACAAAAGCTTTTACACCACCACTAATTGTATTGGCTCTTTCCCAGTGGCGAGTTGGCCTAGATGAACGGTCCACGCGGTCCATGAGGACCAGCCCCATGCTGAAAAATGAGCCACATTTCTAGTTGGCTGTCAACAAATTTGCTTTAACAGCCCACACTTTAAATTGTGCCAACAAGTTCCACTAAAACCCCATCACATATACAAGTAGTAGAGAATAATAAAATGTGACGGCGCCAAAATCGCTAAATATAAAGCATAAATATAATTTGTTTGGCATTTGCGTAATTTATGAATTATAAAACTTATATACGAAACATTTTTATTGTCAATATATTTTGACTTTACGTGCTAAAAGAATCAAACTGTCCAACGTCAGACGTAGACTTTTCAGAATATTTCTCTCTTTAACCTTTGTATACAATCGAAATTTTTGTTTGTATTGTTTACTGCTGGCGAACATTGCATATTCAATGGAGCAGACCCGAAATATTTCCACAAAAATACTTGCATCCACCGACATACATACATATACATACATACTTACATGCCTAAGTACAAGTATAACTGCAGATGCTTACTTGAGTTTTCCCCTTTCCGATTTTGTTCTTCGGTTCGCTTTTGCCTCAATTTTTCCCATATTTTCGAGGCATTTGATCTCTTTGATTGATTGCATGTGCATCACATCGATCGGCAAAGTGCAATCAAGCCAAGATCAATATCAACATCAACATCAATAAATACCTATACTTGCATATTACGAGTATATACAGAAATTTGTGTACTTGTCGGCATCTATCTGTCTGTTGCTCGCCTGTATATGACTGCTAATTATTCATTTTTGATGCAATAATAATCAAAGCTGGAGAAGAAGAACATCAACATCCATACACAATTTGTTTATTTGTTTCAGCGCAAAATTTTATTGGTCGACAAGTTTGTTTTCATAATCACTGATCACCGACAAAATATGCCGATGTAAATATATATTGAAATAAATAAATAAAAAAAAACATTAATAAATTTGGAAATATACTTGTAGTTCTCATCGATCTGAGTTGTAAGAGACTAATTTTCACGTCGAACTCTTTAATAAAAATAGCGCATTCGCGATTAGATTGAAACATAAATTATAATAAATCGGAACTAAAATTATGTTTAATAATCGCCATTAATTGTTTTTGTAGACAGTAGAGCATTTTTGTAAGTCATTTTCAAAATATTTGTGTGAACCCAAGCGGGTTTAATAAGCAAACACTGTGCTGCTATCAGGTTGCGAGTGCTTTAATTATTTTTGCAACCACTTGTGTGTAGATTGTTTGTTTTAAAAATGTCGCCAAAACCGCTTTGATAACAATAAACTCTGGACACTCGGAAGTTGTGATTACTGTGTACGAGTTCGGCTGACCTTGACAAATGAACGGCTTCAAGTTCGGTTTGAGCGCAGCTTATCATCATCTTGTAGACCTCTTGGGCCATTCATTCAGTATTTTTGTATTCCACTGCGTGATAAACGCAGATGTTGCCATTTAACTAAATTTTAAACATATATACGATATTTTCTGTGTCATCAGCGAATTCAAAATGGGCCAAAAATACGAGTTCCTAGATGAAAGCAAAACTTAGGCCCATACTGCATGTGAAACAATTTACTTGCATTTATCAACTGTGTGTATTTGTGAACACCCCAATATTTTGATAAGAAACAAACTTTTGAAAAACATAAAACAAGAACAGAAGTAGAAAAAGTGCCAAAATAAAACCCGAAAACAAAATGGATGGCGAACCAGTTATGGCGGCGCCAACAGTGCGTCGCAATGCGAGCATTAAAAGGCTATTGAAGTTCCCATGGGGTGGCCAAGGTGAGTTAAATGTTAAGAGCTGTGCAGCTATACATCAGTATACTTGTATGTGTCTCTAGACAGTCTCTAAATATACGTACTTGTATGTATGTACTGTTTATCACGCATCTCAATTCCGGAAGTTAACAAATCGTAACAAAATCAACAATTACTGAAACAAAACATGTAGAAAGCAAATAACTGATACGATCGCTTAGCTCACAAAAAACATACATACATACATACACAATAAAATCAAATAAAAATCCAACAAACGCGATCCATGCACGCGTTAAATTTTAAGCTGTTCGCATTGAAAAGTATGACGCGTCTGTACTATATATAAATACTATAAGTATATGTTTGTACACATATACATATACTATATGTATATACAAAGCTTACACACACAGCTTTGATTAATTTAGTGAGAAGTTTTAATGTCGTACCACATTCGTTTATATCTGATCTATGCGCTGAAGCGTCTCTGGTGTTTTTAAGGCCTAGGTTAGACCCCATTTCAGTTCCAGCACTTTCTTCAAATAACATGTATCTATTGTGTAAAATACATGTAATCACAATATGGAATTGTTCTTTTGTCTTTATTGAAAAGTGAAGAATTCATATTGCCCGTGACAAAAACCACTCCAGACATAGCAACAGCTCCCCAACCATGACACTACCCTCGTCATGGTGAACTGTAACGACCAAATGATTAGGATTCAATGCTACGTTTACCTTTCGCTAAACATTGGTTCTTCCATTACTTCCGAATACATTAAACATTAATTCCAAAAATCGAAGTCCCTGTCTTTATATTTATACGCAGTTACTAAACAAATCTTTCGATTTCTTTTCGAATATTATCGGTTTTTTCTTGGAGCTCTGCTGTGAAAACCATTTTTGTTTGAAGTTTTTTGAATTGTTCTTGAATGCACAGTTGTTTGTCCATTTCTTTCAAAATAAAGGGGAAATCTCTATGATCAATCATTTTTGGTCAACTACTTCGCCATTGCTATGCACGAAATCCTCTTGCAAGTTCTCAGCTTCTAAAGGATATGCGAATAATTTCTGGAACCAAGCAAAATCAAGAGATTTAATAACCGAGGGCTCGAAGAATAAAGTGTTAAATGAAATTGTACGTACTCTTTTGTCAAGGCAGAAATATGGTTTTTCGTTTATATCATTGTAACGACACATAACTTTATGACTTTTCATTTTTGGTTCTGACAGGTAGAAAAATATTGTATCGTATGTAGACTTTTGGCGCCCACTGTAAAATAAATAGGTCACATAAATAGTCACCCTTTTTGGCGATTCTATCCAACAAAAATCAAATATACTTGTATTTCTTTAGTATATAATGACATTTGTCAGTCCAACCAACATTAACTCAACATATTTTTGCTTTTCATTACAGGTAAGGCCGTTACAGAAAGTGAAATACCTTTTTCAAGTATGTAACTCAATTAAGTTCGCTTGTTATTCTTGGTAAGCCAATGTTTGTTCATTATTTTAAATTAGTTTGAAATGCAAGAGGCGGCAGCATTGAAATTTCTCGTGGGGGGAGGGGGCGCAAGTGCAAGAACTATGCCACCCGCGAATCGAATGCTAAAGGTCCAGTTAGTGTCGAGCTAATGTAATTGGATGGTTGACCCACTGAACGACCCCACTGACAGACACGCAGCGGCACGCTGAAGGCATTAAAGAGCTCGAGCATAAATGACATTACGTATACGACATCGCGTACAGAAAACGAGCGGACATGCGAGGCAAGGCAAGGCAAAAAAGTTGTCAACTGACAATATGCCACGGGCTGTGCCTCCTCGCCACTTTATTAGCTGCGCAACGCCACCTGCCTGCAACATGCAAAGTAAAAAATGTATCTGAGGAAAGGAAAATGGCAAGCATGCCGACAGGATGTGCCGTCGTGCCTGGCTCGATGAAGTGTTTCGACATTCTGGCAAACTAAAGTGCCCGGCCATCAATGTCGCTGGCTTATTCAGAATATTGAGGTTGGCCGATTGCTGCTGAAAGTTATTTAAGTTGTTCAAGCATTTGATTGAGTGAAGTGAACGCTCTTCGGGCGGAAGTTGTTCACTTTGTGCCTTATTGCCTTCATCAATACAGTTTTCTGTGGTGGTAAGTGCGATGCCTTTATGCTGCGAAGAAAGCAGCCAGAGACCTTGAGACAAAGGTCAGAGGCGCAACCATTTCCTCTGTGGCAGGGGGCCAGGCTGATGTTTTTAACAAATTACATTATAAACAATTTTTGGAAATTAAAGATCGTAATTACAAATTTAACACGTGCTGCGCTTAGCGTGTTGTGTTGTGTGCGCATTTTGTTATTTTGTCGGACTAGACCATCAGCTTCATTTCCATTCCATTCGATCTGTTTTGCTATTTTCTGTGCTGTGCTGTGCTGTTTTGTTCTGTTCTGTTTTGTGTATCAATTAAAAATTGCAAAATTTTGTACTGAATAAAAGCAAAAAGTCCAAACAACTCGAAATTTATGCCCCCATATGCATGTGTGTGTATTTGTGTGGATGTTTGTGTGTGTATTTGTGTGGATGTTTGTGTGTGTGTGTATCTGTGAGTGTGTAAAAAACAAACAACAAATGTCTATATAGAATAATAAAAATTGAAAAATTGTCTACGTTTTGGATGCCACAAGCGCCTAATTGTTTGTACTTTGTTAATGCAGGGGTAAAAAAAAAACAATAAAATAGTAAAAACCCATATGGCCCGATCGCAATTGAAATTGAAAAATAGAGTCCAGTCAGTCCCATCTGTTTATGCAACGTAAACACAAAATTTTCATTTCAACTCACATACGAGTCTTATTTAGTCAATACACAAACCGAAAGAACAGTTTCGAAAAAGCTTCTGCCATGATCCACCGAACGAGGGCTGCAAGAAAGCTCAATACTGTGCTTTTTCGCAGACCCGCTCACTGGGGCTCTCTCCTCAACAATTTTGTTTTGTTTTCTTATTTGCACTCGGTTTCTCGGCATTCCGACACCCGGCCAGAATTTTTATGCCAATTCTCCTTGTTAGTTCCAATTCGACTACGCGCTCGGTCGTACGGTGTGGGCAATGCGAAAGCCAGATATTGAATTTTTCAGAAATTTAAAAAATAATACTGCAATTTCTAAGTGGTTGCGCGTGAGAAAATTGCCGGCAATTTGTTTGTTGCCCAGCAAATAACGGAGCATTTCAAATCACGTAACTGTGAAAAAATAAAAGAGAAATTGAGAGTCCAACGAGGAATGTAAATGCAAGAAAAGTTGCACAAGAACTTCCAACAAAAGTATAATTGTAAACGGGAATCAAAATCAAAGTGTTAGTGATGTGTCAAAAATTATAGTGTATTTTAAATAATTTTTTCAAAACAATGGTTTGTTAAGAACTAAATTCGCAAGATTATCGTGCAGTTCGTAGACGGAAATATTTACAAAATGGAATAAAGGATGGGCTTATTATCCACCTACTTTTTATAGTTTCTCTTCATCTCTTCAAATGAAGGAACAATAACAAGAGTACATACATACATATGAAGGTCTTATAAGCACAGCGGACTGGACTGGTTTTATTTTATATTCATTTTTTTGTTTCCCCTTCCTTCGACACACATTAGGGTAACCCTATGGCCTGAAACAGCCTTAGAACCATTCTCCCCTTCCTTGTTGCTTGTCAGAAGGAGCACAAAACGTAAGAAATACATAAGACGAACGATCTTGCATTGACGAAGAGCTTCGCAACTTCCGCAATATTGCTCTTACGGACAATTCTACGACTTAGCTGACACTTCCAACTTTGATTAGTTTTTGCATTATCTCATATTGTTGACGAGAGTTGTGAACGGGGGCGTTGATAGCTAAACTCCGCCTCTACAAGCCGCCAATAACGACCAGACCAGACAGACACATGTGTTTCTGATGTATTTTGAGATCTTTAAAAAAAATGATGTGTGCCAAATTCCAATGAGAAAAACTGAACACATGCTGAGCACAAGGTTATGGCTTTTCTTCGGTTATTTAAATATCAATTACTGGCAAACATAATAATATGTGTTTCGTTCTCATCACCCCTCAGTTATACTTAATGAACATATCTGTGTATGTATGTTATATACAAATCTCCCTTCTCTGTGCTCTAAATATATGTACGGGCATAGTCGTATATAAAATATGACTTATGGCTGCTGCTGCCTGCCGTTGCCTCCTCAAGGGACATTGAACGTTATATCGCTCTGATCTTCGTTTTTCTTTAGCCTATTTGTGTCGCTGTCGCTTCATTGACGCAAAATGCAAAATGCCTGTCTACACATAAACATTCTCTGCTACTCTACAAGTACAGTGCGTCACACAATTTGTTTATAAATCGGATTTGCGTATATTTTTGTGCGCTTTTGCCTCACTGTTGTCCCTCAGGCTGTTGTTGGAGGGGGGTTCCGTATTGACAGTTCTAATACTCGTACTTATGGGCACAAATCATTCTGAGCTGGAACTCAATTGTTGCTGCCATTACTGAGAACCGGTTTCGTTCGTTATAAATGCAAGATGCTTTCCATATTAATACTTTTCAAGTTGCCGTTAAAGTATTATGTCATTAGCCCACTGAAATTTGCATGTAACTGGTTGTAATAACACTCATTCAAATCCATAAATATAAATATTGTTCCAGTGCGGAATGGGATCTCAACTTTGTGTGTACACTCTAAAAAAAAATGCAGTTGAAATCAAATTGTATAACCGTTTTACAATAAAAAGATGCACACTGATACACTTAAAAGCAAATATTTTTAATTAAACATTATGAAACGATAATGGAACAATTGGAAATTAATGCTTCATGGCTTAAAATTTATACTTCCTATATACATACATGTAACTTGGAGAACGTTTACTAAAAAAAAATTGCCGGCAAACGTCTACATACTTGACATATGAGACTCACACATGTCTTAGCAAAACTACGATCATTTCAATATTTATCTTACCTTCAATGTTGGCTTATCTTCCAAAGTATTGGTATTTTTTAAGACCGCCCGCAAGAATATTCTGGTCAATAATATCTCGATCGACAACCTTGTTTAATAATTATAAAATCTAGGAGAAAATTGGTTTGGGATGCTCGTAAAAGTCCAATAAAAGTCCAAAAAATATCGATAGGCAATCGCTGCTGGTATTTACTTTATTTGTTTACTAGATATCGGTATTTTTCTCTCATTTAGTAAGGGTATAGAAATCAATATCATGTTTAGCAGCAGGGCTGCCATTTTCCCGGCTTTTTAGCCTTTTTAGTTTTACTTAATTTTTCGCCATGTACTTTTTTTTTCGTTGTCAAGAGTCAAAATCATAGGTAAGCAATAAACGACTTTCGATAATAAAATCTATCAAAATCACCTCGAGGCTCGAGCATCAGCTGTTTTTTTTTATTAGTTTGTCTTCGCTGCGTGAAGAAATGTCTAAAGTGTATAAATAAAGTGCCAGTAAGCAACCGCGCTTATCCTGACGAAGAGGCAGAGAGTTTTGATGAATTCATAAATCAACTGCAGAATAAAAAAATTTAAATTTTAACTTGAATTTAATGTGAATTTTCTATTAATATTTTTACAAGCGTCTCATATTATTATTATAAATTATGAAATAAGCATTAATATGAAAACCTTGAAACAGATATTTTCTTAAATTTAACCAGGTTTTTTAAAGCTTATTTGAGCTTGGATTTAGCTTTATTTTTTTTGACAATCTAGCTTGTTTTGCTCAACAAATTATGGCAGCAATGTTTAGCAGTTAGGGAAATGTCGAATTTTTCACCATTAATATAAAACTATTCGGTATTTATTTCCTCATGTCTGCTATTAATATGAAATATTTATTTCCGAACTGAATTTGTCTTATTCAAGGACAACATCATTTTTCAGAGCAGCAAGACTATTAGTATCGATCCATTGCCATATGTTAGCTTTTCAGCACTTAATTGCCACACCAGTGAGAAGTTTATTCGTAAAAGTATTATAGATGTTTCCAGCTTCGAGACTGATATTTTACAATTAACCCTAAAGGCAGGGGGTCAGCAGCAGCAGTAGACACAAACAGGAAGACGCCACGCATAGCCATGCATATAGGTTTACATGCCACAGCGGGACATGGCAAATGCATCCGTTGACAAACTGGGAAGTCGGCCAATAAATAAACAAGCATGCATATAATAGAAGGAAAAGTCACACCCAGTGCCACTAGTAACCTGCGTCAAGACGAACGCGCTTGTGTGGTGTTGTGTTTAGGCCCCAAAGTGTTGGCAGGTGGTGGCATGCCACAACAAAACTTCTAGCACGCACTCAAATCCAATTTGAATGCGCTTTAATTAATTCGGTAACGAGCAGTGAAGAGACAGCAGCAACTGCAACGATTAGGGTGCGATTTTCGTTTGTTTACATTCGGGGGCATA